TAGATTTTAGTTCAAAATGTGCTCAATCCAAAATGGTGCGTTTTTAATTACCGTCAGTATATTATTATTATTATTATTATTATTATTATCATCATCATCATCATTATCCTTATTATTTCTTTGTACGAAAAGTCGTAATTCCAATAAGTTTATCAATGAAACTGTTATCGTTAGCGTGGCAAAATGTCTGACTGGCCAGCTGCATCAAAAATCCATCACAACCGGCACAGCCAGGCTCTTGAGTGTCCGACGGCTGGGCTGTCCCTGTCCACAGATTGTGCAAATTGTGTTTATAAATATTTTGGAGAAACTGCTTGCTTACTTACTGCTTACTGATCTCATTATCGACAATGATCGAAGGGTTGCTGTATGATAGAGAGACCCGTCAGCTGCCTTCACTTTTCCCTTTTTTTCGAGCGCTTGATTTTGGGCGAAGGGTTTCCCTGTCCACTCTGCAATGTTGGTTGACAACCTCTTTCTTTATCTTCCTCTCTTTCTCCTCCCCTGTACAGTTCCATGAAGAATGGTCTTGGACATGCCACACGATCTTGTCACATGGCCATATCGATTCAGTTTTCTTCGCTTCACAGTAGACAGTAAAATCTAAATAGTGGCCATGGGTTGTTTCACTCTACTACGCACTTCTCCATTTGTGACGTGGTCATTGTATGAGATGCTAAAAGGTCGTCTAAAGTCATACAATTTCGGCTATCTTCCTCTGCAGATCTGCCGTCAAGGTCCATGATTCATAAGCATACAGAAGGATGGAGAGGACGATGGCATAGACTAGTCCGGTGTTGGTATTGACTTAGATGTTTCTATAAAATACACCTTGTCTTAAAAAGAAATCATCAAATTTGGAACCAACGTATCAGAATTAACAAAATGACTTGACAGTGATTCTTTTTCTTGCTGGATTTTGAATGTCACAAAACAAGAAGCGTCTGTACCCAAGATTGCATCATAATAATATATCATTTTCCTCACAGATGAAGACAAACAACTTTTAGGTTTAGCTAATCGTGTATTTCCTCCAAAACTCCTCTTTCAATAGTTTGAATATTTGTAGCAATACCCTTAATTCCTTCAGCAATTTTTTTGTTCCGATGCAAATTTTCATTTGTTCTTAATTTTATTACCGGCTATATCTTGCTTTGCCTCAATTTCAATTAGTTCATCATGCTCACCTTAATTATAAGGTTTTGGATGACCAATGAGGCACAAGTCAAGACACACGTATTTCTGTTCTTCAATGATATACATATTATTATGGGTACCACAGTCAGGAACAAAGCCCAATTTTGTTTTAGACTTCTCTCCTCTTGAATGTTTCCCGTTTTTTAATTAATGGTGTCTATTGGTTAGGCTGCGGACCCGTAATCGTGAAACTGCAGCCACAGGGGTCTGAGCTTCAGCTCGGTCCGACGTGGTGTCCTTGAGAACTGCACTTTACACGAATGTCTTGTTTGCCTCGGTTCTTTCAGGGATGAACGTTCGACTCGGTTGTCCTGCTTCTTAAATAACAGTAGTGTTGATAGTAGCTTTAAACCCACACCAGTTAATTCAATTTCATTCTTTTAATTAGAAACTCTGGCAGCTTCCGTGTGTAGCTCAACTGTTAGTACATTCAGGGAAGATTGTTCTGTAAATGAAGTTTCTGATTGACTCAGTGAGGAGGGTGAGCAATTAATATTATGTGTATGTACATGTGTGTGTAGTAGTAGTAGTAGTAGTATAAGGTTTTACGGCGCTCGCAACTGCTAAGGTCATATGAGCGCGCGAAACACAAGTTGTTCACCTCTG